GTCTACCTCATATTTCTCTCTCCCCCCATTCTGCCCTTTCTATCTGTAGGAAATCATCCATTCAGTAAATATTTATAAAATGTCTACTGTGTGCCATGTATTGTGCTAAATACAGGAGATAGGTAAGGGAGTAAGCTAGAATTAGTTTTAGTCTCAAGGAGTTTCTGGTCCAGTATATTTGTAACTAAATGTTGGGGAAAGGCTAATAGTCACGTGAATGAACATGGCACACAAACCTGATACGTTAAAAGGCAGTATAATTGAATCTGACTTATTGCTGGCACATGGGTAGGTTACTCTGTTGTTCTCAGATATTTAAAAACTTACCCTTTAACAGCTTCATGTTGATGTGATTTTTGACTCAAGTAGTTTCTTCTTCCTTAAGAGTAAAAGGAAGTTTTTGCAATAGACGATATTTGGCTTATAGACTGTGAGGTCTCTTGGAACCTTGACCTTCAGTCATTCACTGTGTGGCTGAGTGGCGGGGAGGAACATTGTAGAGGTTCAAGTTCCCAGCATTTCACATGAGTTAACGCAGTTCAGCCTTTGGCAACCTGCCACTCCCTCTGCTTGCAGACAAGTTTGTGAAATTTGACACTTTCATGTCTTTCTTTAAAAAATCTTGCAAGGTTCAGCAGTCTTCTAAACTCTGTTGTCAGACCCACCTGTGAGGTTCTCTTGGACCTGTTGTCAGAAGAGAGTCTGTACATTTCACTGACTTGGGGGGAAAAAAAAACTCTCAGCCTAGTGTTAGAACAATAACTTAAGCTTTGGATGCAGAAATGGGGCACTGCTCTTTTTGTCTCTTCTGCTGCTACCAACTCCCCTTAAATTATGAACCATATACAAGCATATATTGTATCAGCAGAGCATAGTGAAGTAGGATTTCAACAACTGTTCCTTTAGTCAACAAAGTAAACAGAACCTAGAGAGTTGTCCACTAAAAATACAGAGTACTTCTTAGGTAGAAGTAGAGTGGTATATGAGTAATAGGGCTCTTACTGTATTTTGCTTTTAGCTCATCTCCTTTGGTTTCATTTTCATGCTTCAAGTCTTTGGGGCCCATCCTTGCCCTTGTCCTTGATGAATAGGTACGATGGCTGAAAAACACATGTCTTGGTTGTTGCAAAGACCTACCATTTACTGACTGCGTGATTTACCTTAAGTGGTTCAAATTCCTAGTCTGTAAAGTAGAAATAACAAATGATGTCTGCCCTCCACCCCCACTCCAACCGCCTTCTGCTTAATATGTGGGTCAGATGAGAAACTGAATTGTAAAGCGTCATTTAACTTACAGGGTGCTCTGCCCTGGGAATTTGCATTCTCACCGAGGATGGGTGTAGTCAGCTATCCCAGGGTGCATGGAACGAGTCTCTCTGTTCTAGGATAGCAGTCGAGACTTTTACCCTTCTTTGGCTTCTGTGATCATGAGCCGCTGCTTCTTACCTTACGCCCTGGCCCCGCACCCCACCCTCGGCGACCTGGACCTTTGTGTGGCCGCTCTCTTTACTGTGACATTCTTTTTTCAGTTGACCTGGGATTTATCCTTGTAACTTCCCAAACTAGTTACACTTCTTGGTTCTAGTTTTAGAGTTAACATGAAACAGTTCAAATCAGCACATTTCAAGTCATAGAAATTTATAAGTGAGAGAGGGATTTTACAACGCAGCTTCCTGTTTTTGGCAGTTCAGTTCAGTAAATAAGAGCTGGTGCCTGTCACGTGGGACTGCGCTCAGGCACTAAAGGCACCATTGTTTCTCCTCTGGTCCCAGATCTCCGGAAGTGCAGCAGAAGGGCATGCAACCCGAATGGAGATGAATGGGAAGTACAGACTTTTAACTCCTTAATGTGCAAAAATAACAGCGGTTTTGATTCCATTGAGGGTACTTGCTGAGTACGTGCCTGCGTTTATTAGGTTATAATTCATGTAAGTGGCTAAGCAGACTACTGATCTATAAAAATGAAGATGAAAGAATGATAAATAATAAAGCCATCTATTTCTGATTTTTATATGCTGCTCTGTGTTTGTTAACCAGTAAGTGAAAAACATAACTGCACCTAGAGGAAGGGAAACTGGTGAAATGGCAGAATGGTGATACTTCTGTGTGTACTGTGCTAGATGTTCCTAGAGTTGCCGCAGCCCCTGAGGACCCTGAAGCGTCTTCTCAGAGATTAAGGACAGGATACACTCGCCTCATAGAGTTACATGTTAATTAACAGAACTTAAGCAAAAAAACAAAACAAAACAAAACAAAAACCACCACAGCCCCGATGCCAGAGTTCGATGCCCTGGGTTCTCTTCTTGCCCATGTTGCTGGTGGGCAGTGTGATTTGGGGGGGGGGGGCATCTGTCTCTACTCTTCAGAATTTCATTTTCTCTCAGATTCAAAATGGGGCTAATTTTTTTTTTTCCCCTGCCTCTGTTAATAGAGTTGTTTAGGATTAAATGTGGTCATGTATGTGGACTTAAATCTTCACTTCTTACAAGCCATGTAACTTTGAGAGACTTCTCTGTGCCTGTTTCTTCATCCTTCAAGTGAAATAATATTAATACCTACTTCCGCATTCTGTGAGAAGTGAGTTAATTCCCACCAAGTACATTGATCAGTGCCTGACAGTTAATGCCTAACCGTATTATTTTTTGTGAAATTTGAAGGCTCTATGACTTAATATAGTTTTAGTCTACTGAAAGTTTGCAATGATTTAAAAAAATAAAAATAAAAATAACTAATGCCCTATTACCATGTATTATCTTTCTGATCATTTTGGTAGTTTCACAAGATAGGTCTTTGTTGTCAGTGCTCATGATACTGAAAACTTCTTCCCAAAATGCCTTTTGTCTTCAGAGCTTCACACCAAATTTATTTATTCTAGGAAGTGCCTTTTACTGGCAGCGTGAGTTTGGAAAGCTTTAGGTGGGAATCAGGATATGACCCTTGCCTTGTCTATTACTGTTAGAGGTTGGAGATCTTAACTGTCCAGAGCTTTGCTTATGTTGTATGTGACAAAAATTTTTTTAAAATGTTATCTTTGATTTTGAGGTATGCTAAGTCAGTGTTTTTGTGACCCATTCAGCTTTGAAAGGTAATGAAATGTTGATCAAGAGCTCCACCACAACAGACCCATTTGTGCTAATCCTAGTGGTTTATTTCACAGAGGCAGTTTTTCAGATAAAAATACTGATCGTGACTTCCTGTGACTTTCCCTAAAGGGGTGAAATTAAATTGTGGGAAATGCTTGGAATTTAACTGGTAATTAACTTATAAAGAACCATTAAAAAAAAATCACAACTCTCCTAAGCTATTATAACAAAGAACCTTATGAATTCAGAATTCTTTTGTGTATAAAGTGAAACCCAGTGACTGTTGTTCGGTATCTTTAAGTTTGTTACTGAACTAAAATGATGTCTTTAGACAGAGGAGCCTTTGAGACCCATACTGGCTTTTCAACCTCAAGTCCAGTTTAGATTAACACTGATGCTGCTGCTGTTACACTAGTTACTTGGATATGAGTATGGATATTTGTGGCTTGATATTATAGACTTTCATTACAAAATTTGATGGGATATTTGGAAGTTGTTAAGAGAAAATGGGCACGTAGGCTTTTCCTGTTTTTCTGCTTATCAGTAGAATTGAGGCTGTCAAATATTTTGTTTCATCTGTCTTACCTGGCGTTACCTAGTTGTGTATTTACTACTTCTTGAATGCCAAATGCCTTCTTTCTACATTTTTATTTATATGCAGTGTTACATACAATCCTAAATAGCATGATTGGGCTACCATTTTGAAATGAAGAAATTACTTTTAATTACTTTTATTAATACAAAAAGCACACATTAATTTTATCTGCTACTTGATTTGTTTTCCAGAGCTTTCATGTTAAGGAAGTCGGGACTGTTTGGAGAGGTACTGAGGAGACTAGCAGGTGTAGAGTAGGAAGTGTTTGCAAGGGGCCACATGGCAGAATGAAAAGATTGCCGTTTGGAAACCCTGGGTCTCTGTGATGCTGGGGAAATTTTCTGCTTCTTTCAACATTTGTTTCCCCAACTGTCGATGGACATTCTGTGTATCTGGAAAGGTTATAATCTGATACCACACAATGCTGATATATAGTGTAGTTCCACCAAATAGTAACTGTGATATTTTGTATTAGAAATTTGTTCCATTTATGTTTAATATTTCAAAGCAGTTCTGAATGGACATTTTGGGATTCTTTGTTTCAAATATATTAATACTAATTAATATTAGTAGGCTTATATTAATAGGCTTATAATTTTCCAAGATTACCAGAAGACTTTAAGAACACCAAAAAGAATACTTGATTTCTGAACATATTAATAGGCTTATAATTTTATAAGATTACCAGAAGACTTGGAGAACACCAAAAGGAATTTTTCATTTCTGAGTAAACTAATCGTTAATAAATTCTTGTTTCTTGATTTCCTTTGTTTACTATGTTGGAGTTGTAATGACCACTTTCCCCTATCTCCAGTCTTGGACATCCTTGTGAGTTTAGCTTTAAAAAAAGTTAGCAAAGTTACTGAAAAGGATATAGAGTACTGCCAGGATAGTTTCCGCATTCACAATGAAGTATGTCATTCCTAATTTGTTTCAGGAGTATTTGAGCCTTTTGAGACTGTTTATAAAGTGCCCTGACAGACACAAATTGTGTTTTCAAGTTGGCCTCTTTGTGAGGGAAAAGGAAAGGATGCAATAAGGGGTGTCTTCATGGGCTGCACCTTCCCCACGGCTCTCTTATTTTTTCTGGTTCATTGCTGGTTAGGATTCGATGTTAGTACATTAGTGTTCCTACGAACCTGTGGCTGTTCCCACGAACAGGTGGCTATATTCTAATGCAAGTTGAACTATATGCTGCCTGGGGGCCAATATTTGAAACACTATCTATTTTAATGAGACATAAAATTGTATGCTAAGTCTTCTTTATGTTTAAAAAAAAAAAAAATTCAAGTTTTTTTTTTTTTTTCCAATTTGTTTTTCCAGGTGGCATTTTTCTGAAGTTGTTCATTGACACTTCCCAGCATTTCTGCAGATAAAATAGGTAAGTAGTAGAAATCAGATACCTTCATTATAACAGTTCTTTGGATACACTTTCCAGGGGGGTAGCAAATTACTTCTTGAAAGAGGTACAGTATTTCAAACTTTTGGATCTTGAACGGTAACACTAGTTTGTTTGTTTTTGTTTAGAAATACTCTCAGATGATTGATTGTAAAAGACCCTGTAAAGGTTCTGTGACCATCTGTAAGCAAATTTCCAAGCTCTTTATAATGGGCATAGCTGACTCTGAGTTGTGTTTCCTTCTGAGTTCTCTGTGGACCATTTCACCATTTTTACTATCTCTCTGTGAAAGGAGAAGTAAAGATGGCCAATTCAAATTACCCAGTTTTATTACTTGATGACAGCTCAGGTAGAGGAATTGCCTAAATAAAAGTTGAAAACAGTTGACTAATAGGTGATGTATGATTGAGTCTGTTGATTCTGATTTATAAAGGTTTCTTTTGGAAAATGTTAGTAATAACAAATAGGGTTTGAGTAATCTCCTACAGTATGCGTTCAGGAAAATCAATTAAATAATTGTTTTAAAAGACTTTGATCCGGGGCACCTGGGTGGCTCAGTGGGTTAAAGCCTCTGCCTTCGGCTCAGGTCATGATCCCAGGGTCCTGGGATCCAGCCCCACATCGGGCTCTCTGCTCGGCAGGGAGCCTGCTTCCCCCTCTCTCTCTGCCTGCCTCTCTGCCTACTTGTGATCTCTGCCTGTCAAATAAATAATAAATAAAATCTTAAAAAAAAATAAATAAAAATAAAAGACTTTGATCCATCTCTGCTTCTAAAAAGGCAGACAGTATTCAACTTGGTCCCCCAAGGCCCTTGTAATGAACTTGAGGATACGGCTCAGGCCAACGGAGCCAGTATGTGGTTCGAATGTAGGACCCACTGACATCCTCTCCAGAAGGCTCTGCCATATGCAGTGAATTCACAGATTACTTTCACAGATGCCATCTCAACTGTGGAATGGAGATCTTTTTAGCTTATAGATTCTGGGGAAGGCAAAATTGCCCTTCTATCATGATTTGAACTATTGATTTCTGAAATGTTATTAACTTGTTTTAATAGCTACTACTGCTTGGGTTAGATTAGGAAGCTTGGGTTCTTTTTTTTTCTTTTTTTCTTTTTTTTTAATGGGAACTGTAAACACCTATGAGTTATGAAATAATTTGAGCAAAGTTCCTTCTCTTGGGAAAGCCAGGGCTGACCCAAGATGGGTGGGTGTCTTGTGAAGGTTAATCATTGGCACATTATCAAACTGATAATCTTGAAATATCTGTTCTATTATTTATTTACTGGGAGTAAGTGAAAGTGATTTTCTATTAATGAAGACTATTAATAAAAAATACATATCTTTTCCTGTATGTTGAAAATAAGGGATTTATTACTAATGTGACTTTCTGAACCAGGTGTCCATACGTCTGTTTAAAATTTGGTTAATAATAACACTCTGCCACGCATTGTTCCGGTCCAGACTTTCAGATGCCTGTCAGCCAGGTGACATTGGGGTTGGTAGTGAGGCCTGTTTTCACTCATACAGATCTACAAGGGAAAACATTCTCAGAAGAGACAGATCTGTGCTGGTGAGGAGTGTGTTTATTCCAACTCCCAGGCACTGTCTGTTTGAGTGGAAACAGGTCCAGCTGCCATTTTGTCCATTATGTAAGGAGTCGCCTGTGAACCCCTGAGTTAAGTGGCTCCATATTTCCCATGTATTCCAATGATGATTTAGTCCCCCACTGTGGGTTTGTCACCCTGGATCACTGCCAGGCTGGCCTGTTTAATCCAGCTCTGGGGAGAAGCCAGTTCCATTCTGCCAGTGCCTTCAGGAGCTAAGTCTTGTTCATCCTTGAAATCCCCCTCTCCGAAGATTTAGCCAGATAAAACAGCTATCTCTCTCTCTTTTTAAATTGTGAGTTCATCCCATACAAATGCAATAAAACTTGAGCAAGTCAGACACTGGAGTGGCCTTTCTGAAATAACAGCATGTGAATTATGAAGAAATCAGACTCCTCATATCATACCACCTTGTTGAAAGGTTGCTCTTGAACAAGGAGTCACCACAGTCTGAGGAGAGCCTGCCTTGAGGTGGTTCAAGGCTGAGAGTCCATCTCTGCTGGCACAGACCTGTGTTGGGATTCCAGATATGGTGCCATTTGGCTGTGTGACCTCAGGCATATTCCTTTACCTAGTGGAATGTCCATCTCTTTATGTGTGAATACCCCTTTGCCCTGGAATGCTTTGGAGGATTCAGTGAGGTAAAGATGACATGTGTGTAGCGTTAGAGCAGCCACAAGTACCTTGTGCATGTCTTCCTCACATCAGGGACCTCGGAAGGTGCACTGAGTGTGGGATGGAGGAACTGCTCTGCCAGCTGTCTCTTCTGCCTCCTTGGTAGAGTGGGGGGGTCGTACCTGCTCTGTTAGGGCCTACCTGCTCTGTACAAATTGTGAGATATCTTTGAAAAGCATGAATTGAGGGTGTGTAGTTGGTATTAGGGGGCTTCTGTTGGGCAGGCTTTAAAAAAAAAAATCTGGTCAGACTTTCTGGGCTTCAGTCCCAGCTCTACACCTTATAACTAGGTGTATGACCTTGAACAAGTTATTAACACCCTCTCTGGCTCTCACCTGTCTCATGGGATTGCTGGGAGATTAAATGATGTATTGTGTGTAGAGTGAGCCATATGGAACTAGCACCTAGTGAATCTCAATAAATATGCTCATAATTTCACCAGGACACAGGAAGGGAGGCAGGGAATCTGACTTGAAAAAATGTCCATAGTTTTAAAATCTCTTTTGAGTTTGAACTTTGCCTTATTGAGCCGCCTTTTTTGGGTTGGGGGTGGGGAGGGACTCCATTCAAGTTAAGTTATTTAGATCAGGAAGGATCACTTTGGGACTCCCTCATCAGAAGGGTTGAAGCATTGGGAGTTTTAGTCTTCTTTGGTTTTCTGTTCACGAGTAAATGAATCTTTCCCCCCAGTTCTAAGTTTTCAATGAAGTTGTCTCAAAAATGCATAAAAGTTTTCCAATAACTGAATTAACTATCAGTTCTAAATTTTTTCTTTTTCTTTTTTTTTAAAGATTTTATTTGTTTATTTGACAGACAGATCCCAAGTAGGCAGAGAGGCAGGGAGAGAGAGTGGGGGGAAGCAGGCTCCCTGCTGAGCAGACAGCCTGATTCCTGGCTCCATCCCAGGACCCTGAGATCATGACCTGAGCTGAAGACAGAGGCTTAGCCCACTGAGCCACCCAGGTGCCCCAAATAAATAAAATCTTAAAAAAAAAAAAGGAATAGAAAAAGACAACACATGATTACTAAGTGGATTTTGCCTTTAAAATGAAAAGCTGGGTTAACATTTGAGTATTCATAAAGGTAACTCATTGCGTCACAAAGTAAAAAATAAAAACGGAGACAACTTGGGCATCCAGATCTATTTTTTCAGCTGTACATTTTATATGGTTTAATCAGATCATGTATTTCTGATGAAAACTTAGTACCTGAATTGAGATGTACGTTATGTGCAAAGGACACAGATTTTTGAAGTGTTAGTGTTAGGAAAAAGGGATGTAAAATATTTTTAATACTTTTTACACTGATTATATTTTGAAATGATAATATTTGGGATGTATAGATTTGAATATATTATTAAAATTAATTTCTTCTTTTTAAATGTTTTTACTAAAATTTTTAAATGCCGTACCTGCTCACATAATATTTCCATTGGGCATCGATGTTCTAGAAGATCCTTGAAAAAATGGGGTGATCTCTAATTTATTAAGTAAAATACAGTTTTTTTCCAATAGATTGTGAAGGTTATGAAAGTGAGGTTTTTTTTCTCCTTTTAAAGTTTTTGTTCACAGTCTACAGTTGAGAGGACTATTTTTAAATACTCAAAATGGGAAAGAAAAAAAAAAGACACATAGCTGCTGTGTTATCGGGACCTTATGTCTTAGAGCCCGAGGCTCCATTTTGATGTCTTTGCAGTAGACCTTTCTCCTCCACTTCCTTCTGAAATGTACCAAGGGAGACATTCACCACTACTCCCCAGGGTATGAACCCAAACACAACTTTCCAGCTAGATGTTCTGCTTCTTTGATGATTGTTAATTTTGACATATGATGCAGGTATGATGTTCCTAGGGGCACATTTTGACATGCCCCAGCAGATCAGTTTAGGAACTGTCATCCAGAAGAAAATGACCTTTAACTACCTAGTGAATTAGCACTCTTCTTCTTACTGTGGTACCAGAAATATAGAGATATACTCTCAAGGGATGTGTATGTATAAAACACGAGAAGAGAATCCATTTGGAATCATCTGTGTGTTTGTTTCTCATTCATGCCCTGGGTGACACTGAAGTATATCCTGAGAGGTGGGGGAAGAGTATTTGACCGGGAATCCTGCTGGGTTTGAATCCTGGTTGGCTCACAGGGGGATGGTGGTGAGCTTTCCTGTGTAATTGGTGCCAACAAACACCAGCCACTCTCCTTGTCAAAATTCTTCTGTTGTGTGTACTTGATCTGTACTTGATCTGTGACCACATGCCTTTGTGTGATAAACATGGTAAATACACTGCCATCCTCAGACTTTCCCAGGCTGAGCAGATGAATGAGAGAGTTTACTTTCCAGTATCACCGTATTCAGGAATTAAACAGGATTGAGATGTCTGTATTAAATACAAGGCTTTATCACATTTCATGAAGAACCTGTAGCCCCCCAAAAGTGGCTTTTCCTTGGATAGAGTTTATTATGACGTTGAGGTTTTAAGTTCCAGGAACAGAGTATAGGATTTATTTCCACCAGTAGCTTGAAAGCAGTTAATAGGAGAGGGTGTAATAGCCTTCTTCCTTTACTGGGGATAAATTGAATCAAATATATGATGTTTGGATAGGAACACGATAAAGTAAAAATAAGATTGTGGTTTTCAAGATTTTAAAAAAGTAAATCAAAGGAATTGGATATATTAAAGACTTAAAGTGAAAGCAGTTCT